CCGTCCCGCTGGTCCCGGTGCGAGCCTGGGACCAGCGCGGTGGCTCTGTGACAGGGGATCAGAGGGTGATCGGTACACAAATCTCCCTCCGGTCCCCTCTCTGTTGTCGGAGTGCGGAAGTGATGTATATTACATCACTTCCGCATTCTTGTGTCACTCTCCAGCTTCAGACGCTGGAGACAAGCTGATGAAGCAGATCTGTGCTTCATCAACTTCTTTGGGGGGGTCCAAGGTGACAGGGGTCTTGGAGACCCGCTGATGTCTCCATAAAGAGGACCTGTCACATCCTCTTTGCTATCACATAGGGGGGTTTTCTTAGCCCCCCTATGTGATAGTAATAAAGTAAAGTGGAAAAAAAAAAAGTTGCATAAAAAAGAATTAAAAAAACACAAACTTTTTTTAAAAGTCCCCACCTATACATACACGCATGCAAACATGTGTCAGGTGCGCATACGTGCAAAAACGATGATTGCACCAATTATGCCGCAATAATTCTAGGCCCATCAGTCACTGATAACACTAAACTGATGAGCGGTAAAAGTTTTTAAAGCGCCGCCTGTGGTCAATTCTGAGTATGATAGTTTTTTGCGATTTCGCAGGTACGCGCAATTTTAAAGCTTGACATGTTTGGTGTCTATTTACCCGACGTGACCCCGCCTTTTATATTTTACCGAAACATTGGGTAATAATAATTGTTTCCTAACAATGTAAAACAAAACAACATTCTTCAGTAATTTTTCTTTAATATAGTAAAACATAAACCCCCCAGTGATGATTAAATACCACCAAAAGAAAGATCTATCTGTCCCCAAAAAATGGTATTAAATTTGTTTCAGTACAGCGTTGCATGACGGAATAAACGTCAGTCAAAGTACCGCAGCGCTGAATACTGAAAAATGGCCTGGCCAGGAAGGGGGTGTAAACACACAGTCAGCAAATGGTTAAAGAGTTCCAGTATGGAGAGTCGGCTCAGTAGGTGCATGCCATATAAAAAAATAAAAAAAGTTACACTTTATCCACAAAAAACACAAAATGCAAATGTTTTCACAGTGGAAATAAAATCAATCTTCCTCCCCGACATCACAGAATCCCGGGCGTGCCAGGAATTTGCAGCACACAGGAGCGTCAGGCAGACGCAGCGTGGCGGGATATAGGTGAAAGTCAAATTCATTCTCCATCCCACGCACACATACAATCCGGTCCAACGAGTTCCGTCACACAGAAATCTCCTTTATTGGGCGGCTGACAATCTCCTATTTGTGCAGCTTTTGTCACCCGACATGTCATGTGAGAGGCGGAGGGCAGCGTGTTCACACAGATACTGTTTTCTGGGTTTTTAGCAGCACTTGTTGCCCTCAGTCATTCCACTCATGGGAGATCCCTGCAGTGGCTGCCCAGGGCCCCAAGATGGACGCTGTTGTATCAAAGTTTGTGACTACGTTGGAATGTGTGACCGGTCACACATTTTAATGTATTCCCGCCCAGTTTTTCAGCGGTGGAATGTGTGACCGGTCACGTGGTCACACATTTTACCGTAATCCCGCCCAGTTTTTCGGCGGTGGAATATGTGACCGCCAATAGGTGAAGCATTCCAACGCTTTCTCAGCTGTTCAGGGCAGATCGGCATCGCAGATGGTATGTCACGTGGTCACACATTTTACTGTAATCCCGCCCAGTTTTTCATTGGTGGAATATGTGACCACCAATAGGTGAAGCATTCCAACGCTTTATCAGCTGTTCCAGGGCAGATCGGCATTGCACGTGGTATGTGCAGGAGAACCAATCTGCCCTGGAACAGCTGATCGGTTCCGAGATGTCACTTCTATCGGACTTTGTGACTGCGATCTCACATTCCACAGAGTCCAATAGAAGTGACCTCTCAGGACCGATCAGCTGTTCCAGGGCAGATTGGTTCTCCTGCACATACCACGTGCAATGCCGATCTGCCCTGGAACAGCTGATAAAGCGTTGGAATGCTTCACCTATTGGTGGTCACATATTCCACCAATGAAAAACTGGGCGGGATTACAGTAAAATGTGTGACCACATGACCGGTCACACATTCCACCGCTGAAAAACTGGGCGGGATTACGGTAAAATGTGTGACCACATGACCGGTAACACATTCTAACGTAGTCACAAACTTTGATAGAACACCGCCTCATGCAGACTAACTCGCCCCGGGTGCCTAAGGGGAGGATGCTCGTCAAGCCTGTCAATAGTCCATTAAAGTGTATCTCGAACACTCCAGCCCTCCAGCTGTTGTGGAACTACAAGTCTCATGAGTCATTGCAAGATTCTCACAGCCACAGGCATGACTCCCGGAGACAGATACATGATGGGATTTATTGTTTCACAATAGCTGGGGGGCCTGAGTTGCCCACCCTTGCTTCTAGACAAAACCTTTTATTTTAATGTATTGTAGAGTGGGGGAGGGTTAGATCCTCTGTCAGGCTTTAATTTGCTGTCTGCGTCCCCATCGCAGAAATTCCCCCTCTCTGTCTGTACTGTTAACAGTTATCACTGAGATAGAAAGTGAGGGGACATTCAAAATTAAGAGTTGTGCCCAGAATAAGAGGAAGAGTCTTCCTATGGGGACAACTCTCATTTGGGACTTCCTGACGTTTCTCAAGTACAGGAAGTGAAGGGAAACTTCCTCAATGGTACACAGACCACAGAAAATACATACACTTTATTTCACAAACATGTTGTAAAAGCTTTTTCAAAAATTACCCCCCCCCAAATTGCATCAAACCCATTGTGCCATGCGTCATGTGATTCGATACAGACAGGAAGGTGAGGACACGGAAGGATGACGGGACTTGTAATTTACTGTGCTCTAGGCACCCTTTCTGCTTTCTCCTCTCTTCCCTGACCTAGAGCTGGGGCAGCCATACTTCATCCCTCCAGCTGTGGTGAAACTACAAATCCCATAAGGCATTGACAGCCACAGGCATCACGTCCAAAGGCAGATGCGTGATGGGATTTGTAGTTTTAGCACAGATCGACGGCCGAAGCTTGGCTACACCTGACCTAGAGTGTAGGATCAAAACTTTGCAACAATAAACACTGCAAACTGCTCAGCCACATCAATCAATTAAAGGCTAGTAGGGGGCTAATGTGATAGCAATAAAGTTAAGTGTAAAAGAAAAAATGTAAGTCAAATTTTAAAGTTAAATTAGTCACTTAACACTAAACTGATGAGCGGTAAAAGCTTTTAAAGCGTCACCTATGGGAAATATTTGGGCATTGTAGTCTTTGAGAATTTTACCGGCATGCACAATTTTAAGGGTGGACATGATTGGTATCTATTTACCCGACAAAACCCGATCTTTTATATTTTACTGCACTGCACAGGTTGTAGTTGGTTGGGGGTGTGCAGTGCTGGCATTTGTTGCTTTATACACTTTTATTCACTGATATACTGGATTTGCTCTGAATTTCAATAAAGTCTGCAGTATTGGAATTCTCTGGATAGTGCGGTCTGTTCGTATACTGCTGCATTCCAAGGTGGAGACGCACCTATTGGACCAGCACCTGGGGAGTCCTGATGGTGGCTAAGTAATTGGAGCGGTGAGATTTCCTTTGGCTCTACAAAAAAATGAATATTATATTCCGTTTCTGTACACTAAATTTTATTTTAGTGTATTTTATCCTAAAAAGAATACTGGTTTGTGCAAATATCATGCAACATAAAACAATTGCAACTAGCATCTTTTTATTCTGCAGAGCCTCTGATTTCAGAAAACATATCCTTGTTTGGGGGGTTTAAGCTGATTTCTAGCTAAAAATTCATATTTTTATCGTGCGCGTGTGTGCAAAAATCAAGAAATTGCTTTGGGCAGCAAATAGTTGAGTTGTGTGTGTTTTATATAAGATTGTGCTAAAGCTTTGCATATCAGTATGGCTTGGACCTTAGAATAACAGGGTAGACCCCCGAAAGCTTGTCCTGAAAATGTAACTTCGTATAAATAAAGGAAATGATCATGGATAGTATAAAACCGTGTTGTTCATAGACTTAGAGGAAACCAGAACGAGGCTTGGGATTCCCAGAACGAGGCTTGACTGTCTCAAAACGAGGCTTGGGATTCCCAGAACGAGGCTTGGCCGTCTCAAAACGAGGCTTGGTAGTCCCAGAATGAGGCTTGGGACGCAGAGCCTTGTTCAGTTTTCTTCTAGGACTAGGAAGAGAGAGAGCTCAGAGGATGCCTAGAGCAGAGAAAACGTCTAGTCGGTGAGACAATCTTCCATTGTTTTACCCGATTCATAAATAAAGGTTTGTTTGATTATACAGAAAAGATGACTTGCTGGGGTGTGCACCAAATTTTGGCATCCTCAGTTTACTGATTCTTTATTCTGTTACCTTGTTTATTACTCTTGCTTTTTTTTCTCCTTGTTGTTAGAGAAATCTGCTTTACGTGTGACATAAAACCTTTTCTGCTTTTCATTTATTCAATAATAACATTAATGTTTGTTATTCTGCCAGACGTTTCATAGATTAAAAATGAAGTGCTTGTGAAGCCGCATTCATTGTACCATGCTCGTGTCTGATCCATACTGCTCTGCCTGAGGGCCAGACATCAAAAAACACAAAGCCGCACTCTTGAGCGACTGTGGCGGAAAACTGGGTCTCTGCAAGACTTTACCCTGTACAAAGCTGCCCTGATAAAATATAACTCCTCCCTCCGTGCTGCCAAACAAACTTATTTTGTCACTCTCATTAACACACTCTCATCCAGACCTCGTCAACTCTTTTCTACCTTCAAGTCTCTACTATGTCCTCCACCACCACCACCCACTAACTCACTCACTGCCCAGGACATTGCCACTCATTTCAAAAACAAAATAGATGCTATTTGGGATCAGATTGCCACTATCCAATCAACTTCCCCTATTAATGTACCAGACCCTCCATCACACTTGTTACTTTCCTCTTTTGACCCTGTCACCACAGAGGAAGTTACAAAGCTCCTCTCTGACACCCACCTCACCACTTGCCCCCTATACCCTGTTCCCTCAAAACTACTTCGTTCACCCTCTTGCTCTATCCTACACTCTCTTACTCACATTTTCAATCTTTCCCTCTCTACTGGAATCTTTCCTACCCCACTCAAACATGCACTAGTCACCCCAATACCCAAAAAACCTTCACTGGACCCTACCGACCTCAATAATTTCCGACCTATCGCCTTACTCCCATTCACCTCTAAACTCCTAGAGCGCCTTATCTACAACCACCTGAGTTGCCACCTCGCTAATAACAACCTTTTGGACAGGCGATTTATCATTCAAAACACAGATTTGCATTGAAGTCAATGGAGGCTGTTCACACCTTTGCGGTTTGTTGCACGACTGAAATCGCCTGTCGCATGAAGAGGTGCAGGAGCCATTTTCGGGTGGTTGGTGCGCGGTTTGGGTCCCATTGACATCTCTATTCATTGAAAACTGTGCGGTTTTCAATGAACAGTCGCGTGATTGAAAACACGTGACAACCGCGCGAAAACAGCTCAGCATCTAAATTGCCTAGGTGTGACACTAAACTCAGCAGTTAAATCTTAAAAATGTATTCACGTACTCTAACTATTGGAGCTGACATTGTCCTTCCTTCTGGAGGGTGACTACTTGTGTTCTCCATGGTCCCTGTGTGTGTTGTAAAGTAGTCACAGCTCCAAGCTCACTCCTGTGATGGGACTACAATCTCATGTTTAGTTTACTCATTTGTAGTGAGATTGTAGTCCATCACAGGAGTGAGCTTGGTGCAGTGACTACTTTACAACACACACAGGGACCATGGGGAACAGAAATAGCCACCCTCCAGAAGGAAGGACAGTGTCAGCACCAATTCAGAGATGATTTGAGGATCTACAGCCAAGTGATACACAAATAAGATACATTTTTGGTAATAGTTCAGGTACTTGAATGCATTTTTAAGATTTAACTCTTAAGTTTAGTGTCACTATAAACATGACTTCTAAAAAGATGGAAATCAGGAAATGAACTCTGCAACAACTGTGCGGCATCGGTCCTAGTATCAGCAACACTATGCAGGTTATTTGTAATACCGAAGTCCCATTCACACCGGCCTGGTCTGCTGCATTGCGGTAATCACACTTGCGTTCACGTGCATTGTGTTTGAGCAGCTGATTAATTTCATTACTGCCTAATGCAACACAAATCATTAATGCAGAATTTTCAGCAGTGAACCACAACGTACAGTACACAGACATGTACTTATACTCACAAATACAGCTAGATAGTTACACGTCCCATAACTAAACATGGACAGCGGAAGTAAAGTGAGCTTTCAATAAATACTGCAGCTTAGCCATAATGTCGTAGTATGCTCGGCATATATACTTATGGTGGCAGACCTGCAAAAGGGATCCTCTCCAGCACTGCACTTCTTCCTCACCAGTACTTCCATCTTAAGTCCTGGTCTACTTCTGGGTTTCAAGTCTTCAGCCGTTTGATTGCCTGGGCCCCGATGACGTAACTACTGCGCATGTGCACAGGAGTTATATCCTCTTGGCATGCTGAGCCTGTGCATTGAGCTGCTAAAAGGTTATTAAACCCTCCGTTTTTTTTTGCATTTTGTTTTTTATTGGCTAGCAAGCAGTAGATATATGTAAAAAAAAAAAAAGACTTTAAAATAGGTTACTACTTACCTGCGTCTTCCCCGCGCGCTCCCGTCCGAAAATCTGAAAATTATCGGGCGGCCGCAAAGCATCTTAGGACGGGCCCATGCGCAGTTCAGATTTTCGGCCGGCAGACGAGGAGAGACACAAGGTAAGTCTATGGACGGTGTGCACCCGCATGCAGACAACGTGGGACAGGAAGTGCCAGCAAGCTCAGACGAGTCAGCGCTGGATCGGAGAGCCGCCGCAGCGCTGGAGAGAAGGCTGAAAGCGACAGGAAAGAAGAAGATCGGATTAAGAGACATCATTTAAGGTAAGTGCTTTAATAAACATTGGGGGGAGGGATAACATTTTTTTACTTTAATGTCACTGTAAGTATCCAAAAGCTAATAATTACAGTTTACTTTCCGACAGTTTTGATTAATTTGATGAATGAATAATACGGATTAATTACATACTGCTATTTTAAATGAAATTATGGTGTTTGGATTCGATTTTTGACCTTCTTCTTTCTTCGTTAATGATTTAGGACTCTAGATCTCAACTGAATTTTGGTAACTATG